CAATCTTAACCGTTAAGAGGCGACTAACGGGATGGGGTGGCCAGACTCTTTGACTTGGTTGATGCATGTCATTGTATCCCAATTGCGTGGATCGATGTTCATGATGTCAATCAATGGATTGTCTGGTACAGATTCGATTTTTTACAGACCGCCGTCATATAGCCTGGAACATTTCTGAGTGCGGCGTTAAACAACAAACAAACAAAACAAAAAACATTTAAAATATCCACAGCCGCTACTCACGAAACAATTTAAACATCCAGTGATCACACTCAGTGCAGGGTAAGAGTGTCCCGTGCCTTACCTCCAGCACCCGTATTGAGTGAAAGTAAGATCACATTTAGTTGGCCCAGAGACTCGCCAACCGTAAATTCTTGAATAGACACCTGTTTTGAATGTACGCCAGGTCTGACAGAGTAGCGAAATGCATATACTTTCTCAAGCATTACACACCATTCCAGCAAGTTAAATATAAGTTTAATAAGTTGAGAATGTGTTTGGTTTCAGTTTGGTTCTATTGAAAACATAATAATAAATTCGTTACTATGTGCCGTTCATCTCCGAAGATGGAACTATGTTGCTCACTATATGGGGTGTTTGTCCCTACGGTTAACGGTTCGAGCAGTTAGTTGGAGAATAAAATTCTCGCAAAATAGCTTGAATTATATAATAAATAGAATATTCAACGATGGTTGTCAAATGGCGTAGGATTTGATAATTTTCTACGCCACCAGTGAAAACAAATCAATTCTAATCCAAAAACGTAAGGTTTTTGTCAATCACCATTAAGTATCATCAATATATCCTCATCCTTCGGAAGGCAAATATGGCTGAAATAATGCAGATGCGACGTTATTTCGTAACTCACTCACACAGTTGTATCTTTGTTGTATCTCTCTTTGTTGTATCGTGTTGGCATTTTGTTCATAGGAGATAATCGCCAAACAATTCCACTGTGACGGTGAATTTCTGTCGTTCTTTGACTTACACTATCCAAAAACGAAGGAACCAATGCTCGAAATTGGACCACCTGTCTAAAAACATGTTTCACTGCTTCTCTACATCTTTTACAAGACAAATCTAGACCCACTGCTGCTGTCTACCCAGCATTAGGTGTTGACAAACCTAGGCCGACGTTACTCCCTAAACAGAACCCGCGTTTTAGTTCTATCCTCAACCCGCTGTTTCTCACGAACAATGACCCGCCGTTTCTCCGTTTTAACAGAACGCCCTGTCGTTTCTCTCTGAAGGGAATCCGTTTCTCACAAACCCGTATCCGTCGTTTCTCCCCATTAAACCCCAACTCTTTCTCACAAACCCTGAGCGGTAGTTACTCTGAATATACTCCCAACTCTTCTCACAAACCTGAACCCGCTGTTTCTCTGGACATTTAACCAGACAATCCCCAACCCATTGTTTCTGAGAAATCAGAGCCATCCGTTACAGTAGGTAAAACATATCTGTACAGAATAAAGAACAACAAATACAGGATTCGAAGAAAGCATGTAAATTGTAATATTCTAGTAATATATCACAGACAAAACTGCAAGCTGTCATAATTCAACTTTGAAAAAAGCTTAAATTAAGGGTCGAAAATACAAAAGTAGTGGTTAGCATAGCTGACAATCAGTTTTGGCACATATAACACTGTATTTACTGTCCTTATGCATTTTCAGTTACACACATCTATGACATATACCTTATATGCTATCTATATATAACATAGAAACTTAAAAAATATTTAAAAGTTACAAAAGAATATAAATGAATTAATCCAACATCCCTGAAAAGACAACTTTAAAATAAAATCATGAAACGAAAACAACAAATATTGTAATATAAATGTACATAATTGAACAAGAATCTAATGAGGTACACACCTTCATACATACATTATCCACTAAAAATGTAAACAACAAAAACCGAACTTAAATAACATATACACCACATCAACGTACAAGGACAACAAGTATTTTGTCAACTGGAATGCAGGAGGCATGTGAGGCATTTCCAATGGTCTGCCCCTAACCGGGATACAAGGTTAAGTAGGTATCCTAAAATGTGCACCTCACATAAACACATCAAGTCCAAAGGGAATCCAACAACTGGAATAAGTCATAGATTTCCGAATAAACAAAGCTAAGTAGTGCTTAGAATACTAGCCTCAGATGAGTACAGGGATAAATAGGCAGAAATCAACTTGTTATTGTAATTGATGGTATTTGTGATGAGATGTTCTTTCCATTTGAAGTGCTTCCTTTCATATTTTGCAACACGTTCAGGTATCTGCAAAATGATTGGAGAATGAGTATATACATGGCGGCGGTTTTCTTTTAGGCAATAAAAATTCATCTTATTAAGCTGTAATCACTTTCAATGTTTAGAGTTGATATTTTCCAACAAAAAGATAGATAATAGAAACTGTTTACGAAAACGCTCATTAATTAATTCGTTGGAACATGTAATTTACCTTTCTATTTTCTCATCTAGCCAGGCTTTGTGCTTCAGCTTTGACACCCACGAAACCGGAAGCCCAGACATTCCCAACTTACAGCCCAGGAGAGCTCCGGCTACAGCGCCATTTGTGTCAGCATCACCTCCCTATAGAGATGAAATAATAAGAAGCATTATAGATTAGTTAAAGATGCATCATCGGGGTACTGTTAAAGGCAGTTTAGAATGGTACTTTAGTGGATAAACGTGGGAGGATAAACCAAAATGACACGACTCATAGAGGTAAAAACGGGCATTTTCGGAAACCCGAGAGACTAAGGATGATAATCGTGGGGAAATTAGAAACTATGACAAGCGGATGCAGTTCCCGTAAATCTGTATTCGGAGTTTCGGCGCCTTAGACTTCTGGGCAACTAATGTCCCGATCGGACAGTTAAAAATAGAGCCAAATGGCCCTCTATCTCCATTGACTTGTAGGCACTCCAGCCTTCATTGGTACAAAAATATCTATGTTGACGTTAAAATAATTTGGAGCGAAAGATTCTGTGAAAATGGAAATAAAGTATTCTGCAACATCGTTTAGGACAATGATGTATGGTGCAAATAGTGATGCCTTGAACTAACTAGGATCTTCTTTTGGTCATTATATACACACCAGTTTAAACCCTGTACCAAGTGGTTCCTAGGAACAAGATCTGTTTGCAAAATTTAATTTGAAACTTCAAAATAAAATCAGGCAAGGGGTAACTGACACACAAGTAAAATTGGTAAAAAACCCGATAGTTTGAGCCTTGATGAACTTGTTTTGCTATTTTCCTGTATATCCAAAGGTGTAGGATGGTCTCTGGGTCATCCTCCCCCAATGTTGCTCGAACAATTTCTTTTCCTTTTTTTTGGTTTCCCTGGCAAATATATGCCAAAACCTACTGTATGTATGCAGAATATTTGATGAAACATGGAGGCAGGCTAGTTTGCGGTGACGTCTAAGATGTGGGTGTCTGATTTTACAGCTACTTTTATTTTTAAGGGCAACATTCATAAAATTTACTAATATTGAAAATAAAGTTACACCTCACTATTAATTACACCAATACTAACTTGCAAGACATTTTGAAAAAAGATGGCCAATTAATAGCCATTAAGGGTTTCTAAATGTGGCATTGAGGTGACCATGTTTGAAAATGGCTTAGTATTTTGAGAGCAATGTTTTGAGACAGCATAGCTGGGACAATTCATGCAAAGTTCCAGCTCCATTGCCCTTGTAGTTTCAGAGGAGTTTCAACAAGAGGACAAAGTCATCAATATCCCACGCAATGGTAAATAATTATCGTGAATAATATACACCTCGACAACGTATCACACCACCAAGATGTTTTGATAATGAGAAAAGAGAAAAGCGAAACAAAAGCAACCAAAAGTGTTACTTGATTTCAAAAAGATGTCAGTAACGTTGTACCCATGTCACAGTTGAATAAATAATATACAGATGTTGAGGATGTGTTGCCATTCCTGATGCAATGCATGGGTCAATTCCAGGGGGATTCTGTACTGGGGGTGTCCCTGGCTCTAACCCTACATCCCAGCTGATCCCAGAGATGCTCCATTTGATTCAGGTCAGGGCATCGAGAAGGATAAGGCAGGGTCTCAATAACGTTGTTCTGGAGATAGTCAGTCACAGCTCGTGCTCGGACAGTGTTGTCCATGAAGACAGGACGGGTGGCAAGTGCATGGTTATCAAAATGAAGCTCAATAAAACTGTTCAATATGGTATCTTGGTACCCTTGGACATTTAATGTCCCCTGAACTCTGAACAAATCAAGTTTACAATCAAACAAATTTTGACGAGGTGTATATATGAAACATGTTGCCATGAAAACAGAAATTATCATTTAAAAAATCCCAAACCATCAAAAGGAACAAATTCACAATTAGACCTGTCTCTGTGCCAAGTTTTGTAAAGCCATTTTGTAACGTTTTCAAGGTTAGCACCGGAAACGACGACTACCACCATTTACAGCCTAGATCCTTTCAAAAAATCCCAAACTTGTCAAAAGGCACCAGTTCCCAACTAGGCCTATTAATGTACTAAATTTGGTGAAGAAATATTTACAGTTTTCAAGATCTGCTCAGGAAACGAGATCTAATGCCATTCAAAAGCCAAAGCTGTTGCGATGGCAACTAGAAATATATTTGTTTTAATGCCAAAATATCAAAAGGCACCAGTTCAATACTAGACGTATTTGGTGAAAACATATTGTACAGTTTTCAAGATCTGCTCGGGAACGAGCATTACCGCAATTTTCAGCCTCAGTCAAAGTTATCAAAAACTCGGTAAAATTTATTATTTATCATTTAGTGTGTGTGTGTGTGTCTGTGTGTGTGTGTGTGTGTGTGTCTGTATGTCTGTCTATCTGTCTGTCTGTGTGTCTGTCTGTCTGTGTGTCTGTCTGTCTGTGTGTCTGTCTGTCTGTGTGTCTGTCTCTGTGTGTCTGTGTGTGTACGTGTAATGGTCCGGACTAAAGCCTGTTATACCCACTTATACCAACCTCCATAACAATTGTCTGCAGTGCATTCCTGAAGTCCTTCTGTTTCAGTGCCCAGAACCCGCAGCCCAGACACTTGTAGGTGTAGCCGATCTTTCGACGTTCATCAAGATGTAGGTTCTTAATCTTCTCACATTCCAGATACGTCTTCAGCATCTGTTTCTATAGAGTGAAACACTATTCAATAGCACAACGTAAATTCTAACGGTAAAGTGAACACTTAAAGTAAATACTGCACACAGTGAGATTAATTTAACCATATGTTGCATACCATTGTTAGTCTTAGTTCAAAACTGCATTCCCCATGAGTCATCTTTATGTCATCTTCCTGAGGCAAGGGAGTTAACTGACTTTAAAAGTTCAGTTTCCACCCTTGCGGAACTAGGCTGGAATTCCTGGGCTCAATCGTAGCGCCACGAGTGGTTATTACGAGTTATGTACCTTATAAGCCTCTCCTATGAACCAATCAGATTCCATCTCTAGTATCACTTGCATTTATTTGACACAGTCAAGACGATCTGATCTATATTCAAGATCTATATTAGGATAAAACGGGTCTTACCTCGCGAAGGGCATCAAATCACGTGAGCACCTTAATCAAAAACGTGAAAAGACTCGGAAAATATATGTTGACAACGAGTTGGCAAGCAGGTGCTTTGCAAATCATGCAATCGACCGAAATCTGCACGACAGTTTACTAACCGGATTTCGATTTCGTTGCGCGATTTTTATTGGACTATGCATAGACTCATTAGTCCAGCCGAAATGTAACTCCATAATACCAGCCAAGTTTGGCAAGGGTGGAAACTGGACTTTAATAGTCAGTTAACTCTCTTGCCTCGGGAAGATGTCTTTATGCAAAGTTCAAGGGGTCATAATCGGGGTACTATAAAAAACCCACCTTAACACGACATGGGGGAGAGGGGGGTTTCGAATCCAGAATTAGCCACGTCTATAAAATGTCATTACCTTAACCCTGCTCCTTGGTTTCACGTATATGGTAGGCGACTGTGCTTGTCGTAAGAGGCGACTAACGGAATTGGGTGGTCAGGCTCGCTGACGTGGTTGATGCATGTCATCGTATCCCAATAGCGTGGATCGATGCTCATGATGCCAATCACTGGGTTGTCTGGTCCAGACTAGATAATTTACAGACCCCGTCATATAGCGGCATTAAACAACAAACAAACGAACAAAACGTACATGGTCAATGTTTACGACTAACATCACTTCGGGATTTCCTCCCACATCAAACTGACACGCCTTGATTTAACTGAACACTGTTCAAAGCCACGTTAAACTCACTCACGCATGACCTGGACACGTCACTCACCTGGTCATCTGTCTCCAAACATTTGGACGCAATCTGGAAGCAGTCTTCTATGATCTGCTGGACTTTGTACTTGCCGTTCTTCTTCATGTGTTGTGGTTCTCTCTTCAGCATCATACTGATCGCGGCGGACACAGCGACGACTGACGCCTGGCATCTAACAAAGCCAAACCACAACTGAAACGTTGGCCATTCGACGTGAATATACTCTCTCCAAAATAGAAACATGTCAATGCAGACTGTCAGTCAAAAACTGAAAATATCATTGATATCGGAAATTCAATTTGTGATGAGAATGACCATACGGCCTATCACATGGAAGTAAGCAATTAATTTAACTTTGTCGCCACTTGGCTGTTACATCATGACCGACGCTCTTGCCCACCGGATCCTGACACTACAAAGGTAAGCAATGCCAGACAGTGAGGTGTGTAACCTTTGGCCGCTAAACGTCCCTCAACCAAAAGATTAAGAAGTCGTTCGATGAAAGTCGTCAGTCTTGAGTGCATGTATCGATGCATATGTTGCTCCCATACTAATTGGTTTACAATCCCACTTTACTCAGATCTTTCATTCCGACACGAAGATCACATCAGGTGAACCCTGAGCCAGCTATGACCCCAAATCTATCTGAAGAATGCATTGGTTTCTTAAAAAGATTTTGCTTCATTTCCATTATCACCTTGATTTAAAAATTTCAGTCAAAAATAAACCGCCATAGAACGGAAACATAGTACCCTCAAAAGTTCGGGTGCAGATGCTGTGGCGCTCAGAAACGACAGGATGTCTAAACAACACTGAAATAGCGCGCATCATGTCTTGGCATTCGTATCAGTCCGGTTTTATTCGTTTCAATATGCTTCTCTAAGATGCTTCGCGAACTTGTACCAAGAATTTAGAAGCCTGAACGCTGACTGGCCTATAAGAAAATCACCTGACATGAGCTCCTGGAGGTGTGTTAGATCTTCACGCATAGTATCTCAGTAGAACATCTTATTCAAATGAGAATGTTTGGTTTCTTTCTGTGGGTTTTCAATTGACATACGAGTATGAATAGTTATTCCAAAGATTTTAACTGTTTTATTTGACCAACAATCGTACAAGAAACTAACATAAGTTGACCCATACAGATTTCAAAACTTACTATGAATATACAAACAATCGTATTGAAGAGAACTTCATTGAAAACTGTGATGGAGGAGCACCGATCTAAGCATGAACTAACCTTGGATCGTAATGGGTCGTCTTACATATGGCAATGGCATTATCAGCCACGGCATCAGTGTCCCAGTACTGGTGTATCCCCAGAATTGACGTCCTCATGACGGCGCCATTAGGGGCAATGTCTTTTCCACGTTGCACCCATACACGTTGCGCCACCTGGAGAGAGTAAAGAACACTACATAATTTGACATGTTAAAAAATGTTCCCAAAACATTATCAAACCATATCATCATCGGGGCGGTGGGGATCCTTGAGGTAAAAGCGTCCGTTCGTCTAGCTTAAGGCCTGGGTTCGATACGCCATATGGGGACAATGTGTGAAGACCATTTCTGCTGTCCCCCGCTGTGCTATTGCCGGAATAATAGTGAAAGTGGCCTAAAACTCAACTCACTCACTCACTTATCATCATGATAATGCAGAATTGTGTCACAAGGGATCCATGAAGTAAACAATATGTAAGTTACAAATTAGCTGAAAACAATATACACTGAGCAGAGCTCGAGATATCTGCGTAAAATACGCATTAAAAAAACTGAAACACGCAGACAGATCAAATTATAGCGTATCAAATACGCAGCAAACACTACAAATACGCTACGAAAATACTATTAATGCGTATATTACAACCATCAGATAAAATGATTGCCCATATCACAACTGTTAGATAAAATGATTGTGTATCAGCCGATCGTGAAATTCACTTACTAATTGAAGAAACAGGTGGATCAAAAAATTTGAATACCATCTAAAACGTGTGGATACCCAATCCAAATTAAACCCCTGGGTAAAATACGCAAATTACCAAAAGCTTATCAAGAGCACTGCTGCACATGTATCATCCTCGATTATCCAGTGTATTATATTTCCATTTTATTATAACTTTTTTATGTACATTGTTGAAACATAAGACTGAATGGGACCCGTGAAGATCCGGGGTAGAATAGGTCTTCAGCAACCCATGCATGCCATAAAAGGCGACTATGCTTGTCGTAAGAGGCAACTAACAGGATCGGGTGTTCAGGCTCGCTGACTTGGTTGATGCATGTCATCGATCCCAATTGTGTGGATCGATGCGCATGATGTCAATCACTGGACTGTCTGGTCCAGACTTGATTATTTCCAGACCGCCGTCATACAGCTGTAATATTGCTGAGTGCAACGTTAAACAACGAACAAACAAAAGTCACCGTATCATAACATATGATGTGAGGGAGCGAATGGCATTCCAGCATGTGTCGCAAAGTGTCGCAGATCAAAGTTTACCACTTTGGTGAAACACATGAATATTGGTACCGGTGCTGACAAGCCAAGGTTCATCCTCTGAGCGAATCATGGATTCGTATCAGCTGTTCGCTGTTGCTCTGCCCAACCAATTGCGCGTTTGTCCACGGGACCTTGAAGCGCGAGCATTTGTTATTGGGGATCAATCCTTGATACTATACTCACTGCATGCGCCTCTTTTGGGTAGTCGAAGTGGTTGATGACCTCACAGGTGGTTGCGCCGATGCCCATGCCACCAATATCAGACAGCTCCTCGAAGCCAAACATGGACCATTTCTTTAATTTCCCGCCGAAGTCAACCGGCTCTACCTGTGTGTATAGGTAGGAGGTCGTAACATAGATATTAGCTGTTTATCAGTATCCATAACATAGAGGGGATATATCTCACCTGTCTCACCTCACCTGTCTCACCTGTCCTTCATTATCTATATGATACTGTAGAGTAAAAATATGTCACCTGTCTATCATTATCTATAAGAGACTGTAGAGGGAAAATAGCTATACCATACTGAAAGGGAAAATAGCTCACCGGTCTATCATTATCTATAAGAGACTGTAGAGGGAAAATATCTCTCCTGTCTATCATTATGTATACAATACTGTAGAGGGAAAATATCTCACCTGTCTATCATTATCTATAAGAGACTGAAGAGTGAAAATAGCTCACCTGTCTATCATTATCTATAAGAGACTGTAGAGGGAACAATTGCTCACCTGTCTATCATTATCTATAAGAGACTGTGGAGTGAAAATATCTCACCTGTCTATCATTATCTATAAGAGACTGTAGAGGGAAAATATCTCACCTTCCTATCATTATCTATAAGATGCTGTAGAGGGAAAATATCTCACCTGTCTATCATTATCTATAAGAGACTGAAGAGTGAAAGTAGCTCACCTGTCTATCATTATCTTTAAGAGACTGTAGAGGGAAAATATCTCACCTTCCTATCATTATCTATAAGATGCTGTAGAGGGAAAATATCTCACCTGTCCATCATCTATAAGAGACTGTAGAGGGAACATAGCTCAACTGTCTATCATTATCTATAAGATACTGTAGAGGGAAAATATCTCACATGTCTATCATTATCTATATAATACTGTAGAGGGAAAATATCTCTCCTGTCTATCATTATCTATAAGAGACTGTAGAGGGAAAATCTCTCACCTGTCCATCATTATCTATAAGAGACTGTAGAGGGAAAATCTCTCACCTGTCCATCATTATCTATAAGAGACTGTAGAGGGAAAATATCTCTCCTGTCTATCATTATCTATAAGAGACTGTAGAGGGAAAATATCTCTCCTGTCTATCATTATCTATAAGAGACTGTAGAGGGAAAATATCTCTCCTGTCTATCATTATCTATAAGAGACTGTAGAGGGAAAATATCTCTCCTGTCTATCATTATCTATAAGAGACTGTAGAGGGAAAATATCTCTCCTGTCTATCATTATCTATAAGAGACTGTAGAGGGAAAATATCTCTCCTGTCTATCATTATCTATAAGAGACTGTAGAGGGAAAATCTCTCACCTGTCCATCATTATCTATAAGAGACTGTAGAGGGAAAATCTCTCACCTGTCCATCATTATCTATAAGAGACTGTAGAGGGAAAATATCTCACCTGTCCATCATTATCTATAAGAGACTGTAGAATGAGTATCATCTGGTCCGTGTCATCCGTCCAGTCTCCCTCCTCCCATCGTGTTCTGTGCATGTCTGGACACAGCTGTTTGTGTTCCAGCTCCAGCTGTTTTGACACCTTACCGAAATACTGGAAGAAGGGAAGGACATTTCACGAAGGTGTCGGACAGCAGGCCATCGTGGTACATTCTGCCACGTAGGGCTGGGACGGGGAACTCGGGTACCCGGGTTGGGTGGGTCCTAAAGAGGACTCTGGTACCCACAGGACTACCCGGACCAGTGGTTAGTCACTTGATATATTGTTAAATGACAAAATTATCCAAAACTCTATGGTTACACTACAAGTCACCAATGTTCCCATTTCTTTCTGACAATGCACCCATTCCATCTGACATTTATATGTTTGAATAAAGTAAACTTCAGTGTATGCATGACCAGATCGTTTTACACATGTATCTAAATACATTTTGCCTGGGCTGCGGTCAAACTTTTCCAAATCGGACAGTGTGTAGCTGTCTCTAAATATCTACAACGGGTACCTGGGTAGGGTTGGGTAATAGGGTGGAGGGTACCCAGGTAGTAAATTTGGACTCGTCCCAGCCCTCCAGCCATGTACATCAAACTTTGTAAATTGCGTGATTCTACTACAGGAATATTTCACCTTAGGATGTTTTTCAGCTGACACACACAGAGCAATCCTCATCATCCCTATTTCTGATTTTACGTACCGTATATGACCGCGGATAAACCGACCCCGAAGATAAGCCGAGGTGTTAACTTGACCATTGAAATACGAAATAAAATTATATGACCCGCAGATAAGCCGAACCAGGAAATGAAAGGCAAAAAACACTGCGAAATCGGACTGCAAGACATGTGCCGGTACTCGCAGATATTCAAAAACATAAGATGAAAAACGTTTTAATTATATTGAAAAAGTCATTATTATTTCTAATAAAGATTTAACAATCATCCACTTTCATGATGTGGGAAGCTATTTCTCTTGTCTTTTTTTAATCTCATAATGATAGTTATATGTTGCCATCAACAACGAAGCGCCATTTTGTGAATCGGTGTATATAGAATTATCAACCCGTTAGAAAATATATCAGCTAGAGCGAAGACTCACAGTTTGATTTCATCAACGTAAGCATGGCGTTTTCGTTTCAAACTCATGATGAGAATAAAATATACCAACTTTTATACCCCCCTTTATACCACTATTGTATGTTAATCCAATTGAATCAAATAAACTATGAACACATTGAATGACCATCACTTACTCACAGGCTTCTCCAGTTTATTAAACTAATCTCTCGAAAACAAAGGAATAAACAACTATATACAATTACGACACAAGTAAATCACATATTGGTCTTGTGGTACACCGGATCATTATGACATATCACAGTTCCCGGTCTTGTTGCCATGGTTTATTTTGTATTAACCGTAGTACTTCGTCTTGTAAATACACTTTTCCTTTGACTTGGAAGAGAAGGTTGTCATAAGAGGCGATTAACAGAATCGGGTGGTCAGGCTCGTTGACGAATGTCAGAGTATACAAGGTGTGTAGATCGATGTTCATGATGTCAATCACTATATTGTCTGGTTCAGATTCAATTATTTACAGACCGCCGTCATATAGCTGGAATATAGCTCTGTGTGGCGTTAAACAACAAATAAACATAAGTTTGGGTATACAATGCACCTACACGTTCCCAAAAGTAATATTATTGACGTCAAAGATGTCCTACATTTCCAGAATTTAAACCAAAATCGAAGAACATATAAATTTAAACCCCTGGCTTGTAACTCTGCACCTGTTGACTGTCAAACCACTGCACAACCTCTCTGTCAACGGGGCCACATTGGAAATAGTTTATGTATTAAGGTTTGTTTTTGTAAATATTGTATGTCCGTTTCAGTCACTTTTGTCAGCCGTGATATGAAAAAATGAAATTGCATTTAAATAGAAAACAAATATTTACTCCTTACTCAGGATTGGTGTATTTGTAATTTATTCCCATAGTTTTCTCTGTGAATCTGCCAAAACACAAACAGATCCGCACATGATAACACCTCGGAGCTCCCACGAGTAATTGAAATTGTATCGGTCGATACGTCGGTAGCAGCCAGCTTTCAAGCTTGGATGCGTTTACGGTTGGATTTGTTGGTTGTTTCACGGAATAGCTAGCGATATACGTGAATATATTGTTCACAAAAGTGGCAAAATGATAATGCTGGGATAGAAGGTTATGTCAAGTCTCCGCCACAGATCGGCAAATTAGATATATTTCGGATACTAAAATTTGTTCCTGGGGATATCATACCGAAGATGCTTTACATTTACAAGTTACAACATTCTTCAAAATGAAATGTATTTTTATCAACATGGTTACTCTTTACAAACAGTGCTATACCGAAATTAGTATTTGAGTGAGGAAGATCAAATCCAAATGTTATATTCTGTCTAAAACTTCATTTTAAAAACTGGCAGCCTTTCAATTAAGTAAATGAATTGATTAATACAAAGGGCAAGTATATTTATCATATATACACATCTAGCTTGAATTGTATATTTAGGAAAAATACCTACTGTGTTTTCAATGAAGAGCTAAGTTACCTGTTGACTTAACCATACTAAATTGAATTTGAAAAGTACAGGGCTAATTGTGATTTGATACCTCTAATTTACCAATAGAAATCATGTATCAAACAAAGTCATGGTAGAATTGTTGTTGTTTACATTGAGTGAGTGAGCGAGTTAAAATTTAACGTCGCATCGGCATTATTTCAGCCATACAGCGACGAGAACAAGTTGATTTATATACAAACGAGTCATGAATACAATGTTTACATTGACGTCCACTGATGTATTAATTGTATCATGTATAATGTGTCAAGGGGTATTTAGTTTAAATCAGATATTGATAAGAGCAGCATTAAACTACAAACAACGACCGCCTCAGTCAGGTCACGATGACACTCACTCAAAAGATCACCGAATCTGTCGACACGTTCCATCAGGTCGCCTCCGATGACAAACAAATTGGCAGGGGATATAGAAACAGGCTCCGTCCGTCCGTCCGTCCGTCACGTTTCATTTCCGGAGCATAAATCAGTAACCGTTCAATATGTTTTCATCAAACTTTGCAGGTCTGTCAAGTACATGCTGAACTGGTGCCTTTTGCTATTTAGAAATTTAAAAAAAAATTATTTTTTTATGTTTCCATGGCAACAAGATGGACTTAGGTTCTGTAAGGGTAGGGTTCGTTTCCGGAGCATAAGTCATAAACCTTTCAATACTTTTTCATGAAATTTTGCAGGTTTGTCAGGTACATGCTGAACTGGTGCCTTTTGCTATTTAGAAATTTTAGAAATTTTTATTTTTACGTTTCCATGGCAACAAGATGGACTTAGGTTTCAAACACTTCTTTTTTTTACAATTTCCATGACAAGTTCCACCTCGGTTAAAAAAGGTTAGGGTTTGTTTAGATTTAATTATGTCATAAATTTTGCAACAGGGACGGGGGATATATAGCCACGTTAGTGGCAAACTCTTGTTGAGTATTGTTAGCAGCTGACATTTCTGCACACTCACCACCCCTGCCTCTCGCTTTGTGAGGAACTCTGTCAACAGCCCAATAGCATCCCCCACAGCCTGACCGTACAGAGTCGCCAGGATCTGGTCCCGGGGGTAGCCTTCTGTAGCCTCGGGGATTGGTTCCTGTAAATGGTTGTTAGATATGTATAATCACGCAGTTTAGAAACACTAAAATTTATTTTTACCTTTCGGTTTATTGTGAAAAATAATGACCGGTGAGTCGGGAAATACAGAAAATGAAATAAACTTTAACCGAACACAGTATTGATTATAAAAATTTCCCGCCAGAAATCTTAGGCATATGTACATGGGAGGCTACTCATATGAAATGCAGCCCACTTGGGGGCGATAGTTGTTAGCTTTGTGGTTGAAGTGTTCGTTCGTCATGTCGAACGAGAAGCTGTACTCGGAATATCGATCGTGAACTTAATGGTGTAAGGAAAGCTAGGAGGCTGCCAACCCTCTTTTGGTGCGCGGGATATGGGGTCTTTTAGAGAGTATTCAGGAGTTAGCAGTGTGGTACACGGGACGCAAATAAATTCGTATTTGGTACGCAGATTCAACATTTATAAAAAAAAAATGGTGAACGTTAAAGATCCTTCATGTTATTTCAGAGTTAAAAATTAGACGGTATTCGGGTTTCAGGGCGTGAGGGTTGGCATCCACAGCTAGGCAGATGCTCACTTGTCTAAAGAAATGTTTTGGGTGATATTGCTGGAATATAAAAGCTGATTACAAACACACTATACTTCAAACGGGCGGTGGGTTAGCCTCGTGGTCAAAGTGTCTGGTCGCCAAACGTCTGGTTCGATTCCCCACATGGGTACAGTATGTGAAGCCCATTTCAGGTTTGCCCCGCCCTGATATTGCTGGAATATTGCTAAATGCGGGGTAAAAACCTTACTCACATGTGGAATTTAATAATATCAACATACTCAACGAAAAACGAAAGTATACAAGTTTGAAATTTGGCTTTTCATTGATGTGTTTTGTCTGGTGTTTCATAGTGTAAAACTATTATCGAAAACACAACAAAGCACAATGCACGTGCAAATCATCAATGTTGCATGCATCTGTATGATCCTGAAGAAAAATAACGTGAAAATATCTGCCGTACTAACAACCACGTGGTGCTGGGTGAACATTGCAGGACTGATCAAATGTTTGTGTATTAACACCAACAAAATTCACAAGGAAAGGAATCTGACACTCAGAAAATAATGCCCCGTCGTACGGCCGTCAGTGAGTGAGTGAGTTGGATTTAACACCGCTTTAAACAGTATTCCAGTTATTCGCGGCGTGTCACCTTAATGTGGGAGGAAAGCCCGAAGTGATGCAGGTCTCAGAAGTTTACCACTTCGGTGAAACCCACGAGCACGGGAATGGCGCTGACAAACCTAGAAACATAATATGGGCGAACCAGGATTCCAACCCACAATCATAGGTTTCTGGCGTGCCCAAGGGACGCAACTCTGCACAGCGAATCGCGGCGCCTTAGACGACTGGGCCATCCTTGCCCCCTAAGTAAAAATGAAATATTGCCAGCGGTTGGTCGGCTCTCTGTAATTCATGCACGTGAGGGTGGGTGAAATATCTTTTGGGCTGCCGGTGGTTACATCTGAGAGGTTATATCTGAATACTCGCTATATAGCTATAGCCCTTCTGTTCTGATAACAACATGTTAGCTGTCGATTACACCGCAAGATGTTTCAGAACAGTGATGAGAAAAGGTGCAATTAAACTTAATACCAAATTCATTCAAATGGACATAGGCGTTTTGGTACATATTAGAGCACGCCAGGGTCGGGTCTTCTTGGGTAGCCCATGTATGTGTCCCTCCACCATAACATGGGGGCAATGGTGGTTGGGTGGTGTAAAATCTCCTCACTCACTGACTCACTCGTGAAGATCCGGGCTACAAAAGGTCTTCAGCAGCCCGTAAAAGGCAGCTATGCTTGTCGTAAGAGGCGAATTACAGGATCGGGTGGTCAGGCTCGCTGACTTGGTTGATGCACGTCATCGTATCCCAGTTGCGTGGATCGATGCTCATGCATGATGCAATCACTGGAATGTTTGGTCCAGACTCCGGTATATACAGACCCCCATCATATAAGTGGAATTTTGCTGAGTGTGGCGTTAAAATAACAAACAAACACACAAGACGCTCACCGACTCAAATCAATTTTGTGAAAAATGCTTAAATGAATATAACTTATAAGTCTTATGTTACAAGCTGGTCTGTATAAATTAGGTACACATGCGTACTAAAAAATCATGGAATACTCACCGCCCCAGCCATGTTGATAGTTGTCCTTGAGTTTTATCGCTATTAAAAAGACAACTCCAAATGCTTCGTATATTCCGCAATGTTTGACACTAAGTCTTGACAGCTCGTCTGTTGACAGCGAAATTCTAAAAATAGAACAACACGAATTTCGGTCATTGTATCCCTTGTTCACGTCCGTTACCTGTCAAATATTAGTTCATAGGAAAGTGAATCACTTCCTTGCTGTCCATGTCGCACAACCCATGAACATCGACTCGTCACAGTTCACTTGCCCAATAAAGGCGTCATCACCAAACAGGAAATGACTTCGTCTTCTTGAACTTCGATGAGTTCATCTGCCAAGGGAAGTAACTGTGCTATACTACTCTTTTCTAACTGATCTCCAACATGATCTCGTTACATAGGTTCGAATCACAGAAATTTGGAAATGTTTTAACAAATGATTTATCGCTTGAAATATGCTTTTGCACCTAGTTTCTCGTTTAATGATGTTATTAAAAGATTGTCAATAAACCGCCCTATCTTATCATGGTTGTTTATTGTTTACGTCGATTTCAGCAATATTCCAGCTGTATGCGTATTCGTTAATTCCTTTGTTTTTGAACCGCGCAATATAACGGTATTTATAACGGCGGCCTGTAAAGTATATACATCTGGACCTGAACATCTACTCCAGTAACCGAGTCTGACCACCCCCTCCATAAACTAGTATAGGCTGCTCGGGGTCAGTTCAACCCGGAATCACCACGAGTGGCGTCTTATCTAGGAGGGGCACGGGTGGCCCATTCGTCTAAGGCGCCGCGATTCGCTGTGCAGAGTTGCGTCCCTTGGACACTGGGCTATATATATGATTGTGGGTTCGAATCCCGGTTCGCCCTGATAATGTTTCTAGGTTTGTCAGCGCCATTCCCGTGCTCGTTGGTTTCACAGAAGTTAAAAACGTCTAAGACCTGCATCACTTCCGGCGTTCCTCCCACTTTAAGCTGACACGCCGCGATCATTCGTGACCAACTCGTGTTATTCCGGGACAAGCCGAATAGCGACTCGTGCCCCTCTCGTGTCCATTTATGCGGCCGGGTTCCGTCTAAGCGCAAACGGGCATACCCAAAACAATTGTCAACTCGTTGCGTAATGGTTCACATATATTTCCCCATATATTATATATATTTCAGATGCAATTTAAAGCACATCGGGATGTGCGGAATTATACAGTATGGTAGAACACATTTAACGGTGTCTTTGGTATATTTTTAGATGCAAAACATATGTAAAATCAAAAATTATTTCTGAGGGATTCTTTGACGAAGAACTTGAAGTCATACGCGCATTCTGATTGGTTTGTCGTATTTTCGCGCATAACATTCATCGATAGGGGGACGGGTCTTCTTGCAGGTTACGGAAAGGGGCGAGTGGTGACGAATGACGCCGCGATATAAACTGGAGCTCGACCTCGAAGCATGGATTCATTGATTATTTTCGAAATAGTGTTCATGATTTTAATGAACAACGAGGTAGGTATTTTCCCTTACAACGTAGAATCAGCTACAAGGTTACACCATTGATAGCAGTAGTGTGTGCGTGGGTGAGTCGGGTTTGACGCTGATTTGTCAAAAAAAGAAACTGATTTCAGTCGGTGAGTGGTTTCTTTGTTTGTTTGTTGTTTTACGCCGCACACAGCAACATTCCAGCTGTGTGACGTCGATATGTAAATAATCGAGTCTGGACCAGACAATCCAGTGATTTTGCGACAAGCATAGGTTGCTGAAGACAACTGAACCGGGTTCTTCACGCGCAACTTAATTACGTAGACAGCCTGAAATGTTGTATGTCAGAGACGTTTACCTCTTGGTGCAAGCTACGAATTTCGCCTTGTTCTTATTTTCGGTTATATCAAACACATCACATTGTATAGAGTGAAAATGAGGTGGGTTGGTTGGTTGTTTAACGCCGCACTCCAGCAATATTCCAGCTATATGACGGCGGTCTGTAAATAATCGAGTCTGGACCAGACAATCCAGTGATTGATATCATGAGCATCGATCCACGCAATTGGGATCGATGACATGTTTTAAGTCAGCGAGCCTGACCACCCGATCCCGTTAGTCACCTTTTACGACAAGCATAGTCGCAAGCTCCGACGTTCATACAGTTTGGCCCTCACTCTATGAAGGTTCATACTCCAATGAACTCACACAAAGGGAAGGTCAATTCTTAATTAACGCCGCTTTGAAATATTTCAGCAATATCACGGGGGGTACACTATAAATGGGTTTCATGCATTGTAACCATATGGAGAATCGAACCCGGGTCTTCGGCATGACGAGCGAACGCTTTAACCAGTAGGACACCCCACCGCCCCATCTAAACATGTACGTTCGGTAAGCTGACATCTTAATCCATTCATTTTGTTTCAGAACCCAACTATTTATTTCAGTTACCAGGCAGATGCTGGGGGTAGCAGAGTGGTAAAAGTGTTAGCTCGTCACGCCGAAGGACCGGGCTCGATTCCCCACATTCGTTGCTATGGATGGATCCGTTTTTACTATCCAATATCTACGGGGGCCCGTTCCACAAAGCGACCTCAGCGCTACGACTGTCGTAAGTCTGGAAGTTACGATCGTCTTAGCGCTAAGATCACCCAGTCTTTGATGCCACAATTCGCTGTGTTAGGCTAAGGACTGTCCGTTTATGTTCGCTTTCGAGGAGGGGCGGTCGCGTAGTCTGGTGGTTAAAGCGTTCGCTCGTCACGTCGACATTGGTACAATGTGTGCAGCCCATTTCTTGTGTCCCCCACCGTGATATTGCTGGATTATTGCTGAAAACGGCGTAAGAAAAGTACTCTCACTCGAAGGGCAGAAATCAGGTCTGCTTTTCGGAATGCTTCGCCTGCTCTCAGCAAGATTTAGAAACCTCCGCGCTGATTGGCTCATTAGAAAGTTTACCCGACCTCTTATGGAGGAATTGTAAGATCATCAAGCATACGTATGTATGTGAGTGAAAAAAATCATGTTTTATATGAGATTAGATGTCACTCTAACTCACAACTATTTGTCTGATTGTCAAAGAATGAAGTCAATCCTTGGTGTGACACATCACGTGGTCGACTACTGTTGTTTTGTTGTTGGAGACGGAATGTTGTTTCTGTAATATAGGTGTCTGACAGGGAGAAAACTTACCCCCTCTATTATTATTTTCATAAATGACGTGGAAACCTTTTTGCTTTCCTCGAGGTGTGGAGGAGTCGATCTCAACTACGATGAAGATAAAGACTTAATTGTATGGATCCAATTTATAATTTTATTGTATGCAGATGATGTTGTATTATTTGATGAATCACCAGAAGGTTTACAGAAAGCCGTAGACTCTTTTAATGAATATTGTGAAGAGTGGAAACTACATGTAAATATAAATAAAACAAAAATTGTGATTTTCGGTGGTGGCCAATTGAAAAATTCGAAACTTAAATTTCACTATTCTGATAAAAGCCTAGATATTGTCGACAATTATACGTATTTAGGAATTGAACTTCACAGGAATAGAAAACTAGTCTTAAGTCTCTTAGTGATAGTGCATCGAAAGCAATGTTTTGTCTGATCAAATATCAAGAAATATAAATTTACTCTTGGACAGTGTATTATCAGCTTTTGATACGATGGTATTGCCAATATTAACTTATGGTTCAGAAATCTGGGGCTTTGAAAACTTATTACAAAAAAGAATACACCTCAAATTCCTCAAATTGTTCACAGGATTCAGAAATTCATCTCCTTTTTATATGATATATGGCGAATGAGGTAGGCTGCAATTAAGAATAATAATTTGTAAACGAATGATATCTTTCCGGCACAAATTAACATATCAAACTGGTGTGTATCAACTTTCACAGCTGTTATATCAATATTTGTCACTTAACAGGAACAAGACTATTGCATCAACAAGTCTCTGGGTTAGATGTGTTACGGATATACAAGACAGTATTGGGTTATATTATGTATTTAGTATATAATTTGTATATATTAATTTTGTATATAATTTGCCCAACAAAGTGGCTAGTGTCAAAAGTAGAGCAAATACTTAAAGATCATTTTTTTCAGAAATGGAGAAGTGACGTTAATTCTAGTTGTAAGGTGAGGTGAGGTGAGGTGAAATTGAGTTTAACGTCGCGTCGAAGATTATTGCACTTATATAGCGACGTGCATTGACGTGTGCATGTGTGTGGCTGCTTGTACTAGTCCGGACTGATGCCGATTTATAGTGCTAGCACACTGAGATACCATGCCGCAGTTCAACATTAATACCCAACTACTGACTCCGAGCCGACCAGTCCTTGTTTTAGCCCCTTAATGCCGAGCGCCAGACAGAGTAACAACAAGTACCATCTTTTAACGTCTTTTGGTATGACGCGGCCGGGATCGAACCCCGGACCTTCCGCTCTCCGGGCGGACGCTCTACCACTAGACCACGGAAGCGGTCTCTAGTTGTAAAGGATTGTGTTATAAACAGTTAAAGGACACTCCAGTTCTCGATACATATCTTTTATTGCCAAAACGAATAGCAATTCCAATACTACGATTTCGAACCTGTAATCATAATTTACCTAATGAGACTGGCGGATGGAAAAAAAATCCAAAGGAAAATAAAACCTGTTAATTATGTAATTCTCCATCTATTGCTGATGAATTTCACTACTTATACAGATGTATTTTAAAAGAGAGAGGCAAACATTTCTATCATCATATTATACTGAATGACCAAATATTATAAAATTTGTAAAACTCGTATCAACAACAAAAAACACAGGATCTAAAGAACTTATCGAGATTCATTGTAAAAATGTCCATTAGTATTAAAAATGCTAGGTAATCACATGTTATTTATTGCCATTTTCTCTGCTATTTGTACATATACATAATTATTTATTGTGATGTTCTCTTGTGCAACCTTTTGTGGTTTTTGAGAATAAACTGATTCTGATTCTGTAACTTCTCCAAAACATACAATTCATTTTTCAAAAAGGAGTGGGGTAGAGAGTGGGTGGGGTTTCGCGCCGCTTTCGCAAATATTTCAGCATTGTGTGGGAGGCATTCTTAAGCGTGAGCTTAACTCAGTTGTATTAGTGATGGTGTGTTCCTCTAGGCGCACATGCTTTGGTTTCTGTGTGCACGTGTATGACGTGCTGTCCATGCAGGATTACTCGATGTACTTCGATGCAACTCCAAGAAGATGTTGGTTACTTTCGTCGGTTTGTCGTTTAACGCCGCACTCAGCAATATTCCAGCTATATGACGGCGGTCTGTAAATAATCGAGTCTGGACCAGACAATCCAGTGATAAATATCACGAGCATCGATCCACGCAATTGGGATCGATGACATGCATCAACCAAGTCAGCGAGCCTGACCACCCGATCCGGTTAGTCGCCGTTTACGACAACCATAGTCACCTATACGGCAAGCATGGGTTGCTGAAGACCTATTCTACCCCGGAACCAAGGTGATGCAAATGTACACAAGAACGATAACTGCACTCGCGTCATTAGTTACCGTATAGTTTGCCAGAAGTATTCTTCATACAAACTAACAATGCCAGTCATTGATCGTTTATACAACCAAACAAAGACACGCGAGGCTTCGAAATGTCGAGTTCATATTTAAACTGATGCTGAAATGCGAGTAACAGAAACGTGCTTTAAATGGGTATCAGAGGTAATTCATTAATTTGTCATGATTGCTTTTCGGAGTGAATAAACAAGGTGTCGTTAACAGGATTAATGGTCCAACAGAATAAGTCGCTAATGAAAGACTTCTCATGCAGGGATAGCAAACACAATGCCGCTTCAACAAATATCAAGACATGCGCGTGCTGGTGTATGTTTGCCATGTTTGCTGAGTGATTTTTCGCTCCTTAAAATGACCCTGCACAGAGTGTCAGGAGGTGCATTACAAATCGGTATGTACAATTGTGTTTGACGACTGTCATCATAAGTTAGATTTTGTTCGAGATGGTTACGATTAAATACCTCGCAGCAAGATTAATTCTATTAATTCTGGTGAAGGCAGTGGCACAGCCTACGTCCAAATCTGACTACTGGAAGTTGATGGACTCTGGATATGACACCTCCTACCTTGAACCGGTTGAGGAACTGGTCCTAGATAATGTTCTAGCGTGTGCGTCTGAAAGCCTGTTCAGAAACGTCACCGCTTTCGGCTACGACGGAGACGAAGATCTGTGCATCCTCCTGAACGTCGACTACTACGTGGAACATGACTGGACGCCTATGCCCGACATGAAGGTCTTTTTAAGAAATGAAGGTTTGTGTAGTCATCAGAAACTCTATACCGGCCTTTATGTCTGTTTGTTGTTTAATGCCGCACTCAGCAATATTCCAGCTGCATGACGTCGGTCTGTAAATAATCGAGTCTGGATCAGACAATCCAGGGATTCCATGCGAGGGTATTTAGTCAGTGATGTGGCAATATGTGGCATCCTTTCTGTTCCTGAAAGCCCGCATGGAGCCGGGTGGCGGAGGATATGTCTGATTAAATAACCATCAATACTACTAAAAATGTAGGTTACTGTAAGCACCATTAATTATAACAAGTAATATAACAAGTTCAATAATGGTGATGAGTAGACGTGAAATCATTATGTGAAATACTATTATGGAAACGTTTGGCCAATATGTGCTTGTTGTTTCACATCGAACACAGCAATATGTCAGCTATATGTAACCGAGTCTAGACCATCTTCCCGGGGCAAGAGCATCCACTAGCCTTTTTATCAACGTCTTGTTTCCACCCTTGCCACATAAAGCCCACTTTCCTGTGCTAAATATGATTGGACCATAGCACATATCGATAGTCCTATCAGAGAACGTTTCACAAAATCAGCATCCACTCATGAATGTGATTTACTGCTGCCTGTCTTTGCTACATCTTTAACACACACACACACACACACACACACACACACACACTAAGGAAGCGAAAACTTAACGATTTCGGCAAATATAAGATTTCATTATTTCATTCGTTTTATTTCATTGTTTACGTAATTGGAAAATCATTTTAAAAAGAATTATAAATAGTATCTGTCATCACCCATTTCCCCATAACAGCGGCTGTCCGCTCAGTAATATGAAGAAATACCCCCGTTTTCGAGGCTTCGTATGAATAACACGTTCGTCGAAGAATGGCATATGGCACATTGCTGGAAAGCTTATATTCCTTCATCTACACGCTCGTAACATCGCTAACATCGGTTTTGTTGCGTAGATACAACAAGCGATTTCATTGGATTGAAATTGGTTTCTAATGACGCTTCTTTCCGAAATCTGCTACAAGGTTCGTGATTGGTCAAATTTTAGAACGTGACCTAAGGCAGCCAATCAAATTACAGCTGTGATACCAAGTTCGTGTTTGATAATTTTCAGAAGTTGACGAAAGATTTTTGTTATTTTTGTTATCGTGTTATTCTGAACGTTTTAAGCAGGAAATCACGATATATATTAAAAATATGGAACTTCGTGACTTGGTTACGGCCGCGGGCTTGGTTACGAGCTGTGACAAAAGATTTTCATGCATATATTTTTGTATTAAACATCGTGTTCGAACCGAGAATTCAAGGCGACGAAAGCCGAGATGTCCTTTGACTTACATTACACGCGATCGCACGAAAATATGGAAATAATAACTTAGATGTAAGTTTGATTACTTTTAGATATATTTTTGTTGATATTATTTATTACTTTGTATAATATATTTAAAGATTGGTTTAAAACGTCTTTATTTTGCTCTTTGACATGCTCGATGTGGACCCTTTGTCGAAAATTGTGTCCGAGAATTTTATTTTCAATAACATCGCGGGAAATAGTGAATAATTTTTTAATTTATCGATGAAGAATGATAAATTGAAATGGAATCCGTATCAGACATGTGAAATGTGATAGATTTAATAAATGAATGATATTACAGGTAGGTCCATAAAAAATATATACTATTTTGACCTGACTACGGCTTGGCCGGTATACCGGCCTACGGTGTCTGGGGACTCAATGCTTATTGGCCGGAAAACCGGCCTACGGTGTTGAAAGAGTTAATTAACTTCCAGACTATACATACAAATGATGACGACTCCTTTCTGAAGTTATTTAAACATGTTTACAGATATTCACCCTGGAACATGCGTAGATAGCGTGTGTGGGATGTGTATGCAGGTTCTGGGAGTCCCGATGACCTGGGCCGAGTCTGAGAGAGCATGTGGTGATGTCTCGGGTTACCTGCTGGCGGTCTGGGCTGAATGGGTGCACCGATGCATCGTGATGCAGCTGCAGTATCTCAGTGAGTCAAACACATTGTAACCACTTAAAAACATACACAGGAGAGTTTGTTTGTTTGTTGTTTAACACCGCACTCAGCAATATTCCAGCTATATGACGGCGGGCTGCATATTATCGAATCTGGACCAGACATTCCAGTGATTGACATCATGAGCATCGATACACGCTACTGGGATACGATGACATGCATTGACCAGGTCAGCGAGCCAGCCTGACCCCCCGATCCCGTCGCTTCTTACGACAAGCACAGACGCCTTTTACGGCATGTGTGTCTTCACGAGAGAGAGAGAGAGAGAGAGAGAGAGAGAGTCTTTAGATTCTTACGACAAGCACAGACGCCTTTTACAGCATGTGTGACTTCAAGAGAGAGAGTTGGTTGGTTGGTTTGTTGTTTAACGCCGCACTCAGCAATATTCAAGCTATATGACGAGGTCTGTAAATAATCGAGTCTGGACCAGACAATCCAGTGATTAATATCATGAGCATCGATCCACGCAATTGGGATCGATGACATGTATCAACCAAGTCAGCGAGCCTGACCACCCGATCCCGTTAGTCGCCTTTTACGACAAGCATAGTCACCTTTTACGGCAAGCATGGGTTGCTGAAGACCTGTTCTACCCCGGATCTTCACGGGTCTCGTAGGTTATGATCGGCCTTAGTAACCCTTTGTGCATCCTCTTAGCACTCCGAAGAGTGTTGACCACCAGCTTTACGATGGCTTGTTGCATCCGGACGGGTTGTGTGTCGGTCCCATGATGTTTTGTTTGTTTCTTTGTTTTTTAACGCCGCACAGCAATATTCCAGCAATATGACGGCGGTCTGTAGATAATCGAGTCTGGACGAGACATTAAACAACAAACAAACATGTTATTGCAAGGATGTGTATTGGTTATTATTTTATCTTATTCACGCTTATGGTTTTTTATGGAGAGAGAGAATGATATTTTTGATTCATGTCATGTTATTCACAGTGCAATATCTTGTACGACTTTAACACAGTATCAGTCATGCAATTCGCTGTTATTTCCCAGGGAAGCCAACAACCAACGTGTACTGGCTGGGTGGTGCCAGTCATCTGTCCGAGGCGAGTAAGCTGTGGGCACCAGGTCAGCCCAGCAACTCCGAGGAATGCGTGCTGCTGGACTCTGGCGACCATTACAGACTGTTCACTGCCGACTGCTCAGAAAAACATCACACCTTTTGTTACTTACCTGTAGGAGAGTAAGCCTCAGCCATACCCAATGTTTCCTTACAGAGAAAAGACGTTATGTAATATATATCGTTTTTTTAACACCGCACTAAGCAATAATATTTCCGGCAACCGGGTTTGGTTTTCATTTAACCAATTAGCGTTCAATTATATGATTTGAGGCCCTTAAAGATGTCAAGAAGTCGACCCATTGACATTCTTGGCGCGTGAAATATTTTTATTTTTTTAATTATTAAAACAAAACATAATTTGTTCCCCAAAAAAACGATTTGTCCGCACTGGATAGGGATGTCCTTAAACAGATGATGTATTGTGGGGAAAGAATTGTGCAGCTTATCATTTCAAGGTCAGCACCATACCCGTGCTCGTGGATTTCACAAGTGGTACATTTTGAAACGTCTGGGATCCGCATCACTTCGGGCTTTCCTCCAATAACCAACTCAAGTCGTTATAAAACTGGAATTCTTTTTCAAAGCGATGTCACTCACTCACTCACTCACTCACTCACCCACCCACTCAGTCACTCACTCACTCACAGTGGCGTCAACTTCAAGCTTCCAGTGTCCTTTCGTGTCACCCAGTGTGTCGTGTCGGGTTTCAACCAAGTGAATTTCGTGCAGCACGTGCACTACAGTCGCTCCGGCTCACTGTGGACGAGACCACCTCCGATGACGCGGGCTGAGCTGGGTTATAAAACTAGGGCCGAGTGTAGGGCTGGCAGGTGTACACGCCTGATTTTAATTGATTAGGATTCAAACGTTTGATATTGATTTCACGAATTTGATTGTCATTGTGCGCCAAGCGGGAGGGATTTGTTTTGTTTGTTTGTTTGTTTTGTTTGCACGCAGCGCCACTTTGTTTATTTTCTCTTCTTTCTTTATCGCATTTGAATCGCATTTCGTTTTTATTGTATTCGCGTAATTTGCATTTCGTTTACACTGTAATCCTAGTTTTGTATTTTGTTTCTTATCTGAGTAAACTCGTGTTTTTTATTTATTGGCGCAGCAATATTCCAGTTATATGACGACGGTCTGTGATTGACATCATGATCATCGATACACGCATTTGGGATACGATGACATGAATCTACCAAGTCAGCGAGCCTGACCGCCCGGGTCCGTTAGTCTCCTCTTACGACAAGCATGGCTTGCTGCTGCTGGGGAGTCCGGATCACACAACTTCCAAACTCATAAAACAAGTTTGTCGATCGAGAGCCATATTACGCTCTTTGAACTATTTGAAAGGGGGTATGCTCGATTGCTCCTCAAAAGTGGTGAAATGTAGACACCAAAGGCTGCTGGTGGTGGAATATTGTCTTGTCAGACACTCAGTGAGTGAGTGAGTGAGTGAGTATGTTTTTACGCCGCTTTTAGCAATATTCCAGCAATATCACGGCGGGGGACACAAGAAATTGGCTTCACACATTGTACCCATGTCGGGAATCGAACCCGGGTCTTCGGCGTGACGAGCGAACGCTTTAACCACTAGGCTACCCGACCGCCCCTTCTTGTCAGACAGACTTCCGGTAAGATAGAAACACTATATATTAGAACAAACACCTTAATATATCATTAAAAACACAAAAATATACCATCAATCAATATGTATGTTTGTATTTCTACTCAAAAAGGATACAATGAAGGCTAACATGAACGCGCGAAGAAATCACATTTATTTTAATTGAACAATGGACGTAAAATTAAGTCGACTTCTATACAAATACTCCTTAGAACCATTGTGTAGATGCCGGTAAGAATACGCTTTCGGCAACCCATGATTGCCGTAAAAGGCGACTAACGGGATCGGGTGGTCAGGCTCGCTGACTTGGTGGATGCATGTCATCGTATCCCAATTGCGTTGGACGATGCTCATGATATCAATCACTGGATTATCTAGTCCAGATTAGATCATTTACAGACCGCCGCCATATAGCTGGAATATTGCTGAGTTCGGCGTTAAACAACAAATAAACATTTCAAAAAACAACTTTGATATATAGGTAAAATGCAACCCTGACAACCCGCTCCATCAGTCGCCTCATACGACATGTTTAATTAGGTTACTGGGATCGATTCTACAACGGTTCACCATCCGTGAAGATCCGGAGTACAATGGGTCTTCAGCAACCTATGCTTGCCGTAAAAGGCGACTATGCTTGTCGTAAGAAGCGACTAACGGGATCGGGTGGTCAGGCTCGCTGACTTGGTTGATACATGTCATGGTATCACAGATCACGCAATTGGGATCGATGACATGCATCAACCAAGTCAGCGAGCCTGACCACCGGATCCCGTTAGACGCCTTTTACGACAAGCATGGGACACTGAAGACGTTTCTAAAGGTAAATATATAAGTCAAAGGTAAATATACTGAACCAAATTAAAAACTTCACAATCCTAAAATTTTAACATTTTGACCAGTTATCATTGTGGGCCCTTATTGTGTATTTAAACAGCAATGGCCACGTATTGTCTTCAGATAACACCCGTTTTCGTGCAGGTGAATCTTTCAATATCATGTGCACAGCACTATAGTGGCAAAAGTGGTTTTTCACGTGCAACTGGTCGCGTGTCCATAATATCGTACCTGTTTTCAGCCATACTTGTTAGCAGTCATTAACAAAAAGAGAAAAACACAAGAAAACAAAAGTCTTTACGGCCATTTGTCATGCCGCGCCTTTCGAATTTGCAACGTGAACGTGCCATCGGCATGTTGCAGACGGGAACGTCCGTAGCTGAAGTCGCAAGGGCGATGGGTTGACTGTTTATGATTTACAGACGCGTCTACAGCAAACGGGTACCACTGCTGATCGCCCTCGGCCAGGTCGACCACGTGTGACGTCACATGCAGAGGATCGTCAGATTGTCTTACGTCACCTCCGTAACCGATTTTTGACGGCTACATTAACCAGAAATGAACTTTTAAGCGGTAGACTGAGTGAGCAAACTGTTCGAAACCGTCAGAGAACTGCTCACCTTCAAGCACGACGGCCATACTGCGGGCCGATTCTGACTCAATTACACAGACGTCAACGTCAATTGTGGGAACAGCGACACTTACGATGGACTCAGAGGAATTGGAATCAAGTCGTCTTCAGTGATGAATCCCGATTTATTCTTCGATTTGCTGATGGTAGGGCGAGGGTGTGGAGGCGCCGTCATGAACGTTACGCCCAGTGTTGTGTACAGGAAGTTGACAGATTTCGAGATTTCGATTTCGAAGTGTCATGGTGTGGGGTGCTTTCTGTGGCAATGCACGTTCCAGGCTTCTTGTCATCCGTGGCAACCTCAAAGCTGCTGCTTACCGCGACCAGGTACTGGCACCAGAACTTCTGCCTTTTATCGCAGCACATGGTTTGATCTTCCAACACGACAATGCCAGACCCCACACAGCAATTTTGACAAGGAATTTCCCTCAGAATGCGGGAGTTAACGTCATGGACTGGCCGTCAAGGTCTCCCGACCTCAATCCCATCGAACACGTCTGGGATGCTCTTGGCAGAAATCTGCGCACTCTCCAGAACCAACCACAGAATTTGCAAGATCTTGGCACCATTTTGCAGCAACAATGGCGTCGTCTTCCCAATCATGTGTTCACAAGCATCACAAGGTCCATGCGGAGGCGTTGTGTGGCAGTTGTCAACGCACATGGTGGCCATACACGCTACTGAACTTGTGTGCCATCAGATTCTCGTGCTTGGGACTTATGATTTAAACTGTTGATGTTATAAGCGAATACCGTAGGTGCTTGGAACAAATTATGGTTACCACCGTTAATTAAAATCCTTCTTTAGACATTAATGATTAAAAATTACCTTCTCTGATTCATTTGTCCGTTGTATATCATATTTGGGATTACTTTGAAAAATGTGAAGTTTTTAATTTGACTCAGTATATACAAGTCAACACCAGAGTCTCGATCATCCGCCGAAACAGATTCCATTGGTCGTAAAAGTCAAAGTAGTGGTGAATGGACCAATGAAAATCAGTGATGACACCAGATGTTCGCGAAACGGGTAAGCATGTCCTGCTCTACCGGCAGCACCCGTCAATCACACAATTCGCATTAAAAGTTAGTGTTTGTTTGACGTGGACTCATGATGCAATACTTCAAATGGACACGCACGTTACTGACGTGTGAGCCAAGTCTTACAGAAAATAGGATACCCGATTACCCTAAACAAGATCTTATAATGACTAAAAATATTACAATTGTAAACAACACTTGAGACAAAATGTATCAACATTACTATACTTTCTACATGAAAGAAACAATAATAGCAATGAAATTAATACATCTACCCATAAACAGAGGAACATAGTAAAATATTTTATGATTGTGCACACTTTTAAAAAATTTAAATATTTTTGCACCTTAATTAATATGTGTAGTTTAGTTTAATTGTCCAGAAGAGTTAATAAGGCGTCTGTTGGAAATGAACTCCAGGTGTGCCATTATAGGTATTGCAAAAACAAGTGAAACAATAAACAGCCCAATGCTGTTTATCACTCAGAATTGACATCTTATTTATATACAAAGCAAAACGTTGAGGATCAATCGATTTTTTCATATTACTACAGTCAATCTGTCATGTCATGACAGATTAACTGTAGTAATATGAAAGAATCGGGTTATCCTTAACTTTGTGTGTGTAGTATCTAACATTGTTGCAAAATACATGTTTAATTTCCTTACCAAACGTTTAACTCGTAGCCTTGAATGCCTTTTTTTCGAATTGCGTCACCAAAAATAAAGATAAACACCGTGACAAATAAAAATATATCAATATCAGAAAATCTCCGTCAATAGCATCTAAGAAAGAGTTACATGCTGAAACAGAAACAGTCCATTCATGGCCCTTTGCTCATGCACTTGCCCTTTTAACAAACTCATCTTCATCAAAAACGTTTTAATGGGCCTGTTAAGTCTGGGGGGAAATAAAAAAATGGATTTTGTTGAGGAAATTTAACCACACAGTTGGAATCATGAACGCTGGTAGTCATTTACAAAAGTCA